GCATGCCTATGAATTGGAGTAGTTCCTATAGAAATAGAAGTTAGCCACATAGACCCCTGCCCTTATCTCCTTATGTATTTCCACCTACTCATAGTAAGAAAGTATTTTTTTAAAACAAGCATAAATGTTAGTTGAATGAATAAAATTTGACATGAAATGCTGTTTTTAAGTAGCTCTTTTGTATCCTCAATCTACAGTGATTGTATTATGATACTGTGCATATTATTCAGACTGTATCTGTCTCATAGAAATATAACCTAAGCCACATATGTAAAGTTAAATTGTCCTGTAGCTACATTTAAAAAAAGTAAAACGGAACTGGTGAAATTTAATATAATAAATTTGATTTAGCCCTGTATATTGAAAATATTATCATTTCACCTTAAATTCAGTGTAAAAGTTATTAATGGAATGTTTAACATTTTTCATGTTATTCAAAATCCACCATACATTGTACACCTGCCACATATTCCAGTTCAGACACTAAATGTCCATCAGGAACATTGACTTCATACTTAGATTTACCATTACAAATACAGATTCCCATTCCTAAGCTTTTTCCAAACACACTGAAAAGTTTTCCAGTCACTAAATCAAGTGATTTTTATTGACTTTTCAATTTATAGAAATTAGAGCTGAGTAAAATTAAAATTATGATTCCTCAGTCACAGGAGGCACATTTTGAAGGTCACAGGCAGCTATGGGTAGATAGTGTGGCTTCCATACTGATGGGCACAGATTAGACAGAGAAACTGAAGCCCTGAGTAAATTAAGTGACTTGCCTAAAATCACAAGGTGAGTTGATAGAGATGGGTCTAAGAACGGGGCCTCAAGTTTATCCTTTTGCCCTCCCCTCCACCTGCTCCTTCACTGTGTTATTTTGGGTCTGAGTCAGGGCTCTTTGTACGGCTGCCTTGGGAAATAACACATATTCACAGTGTTCTGGTTGATGACCATCTTAATCACACTGAGATTTCTACATCACTGTAATTCAAATAAGAAAATCCAAATTAGACAACTGAAGTAAACACTGAACACCCACATTAAAATTTTAGGGAGAAGATGAAAATGAATCATTACAAAACTCATCTCAAGGAAAAGAAGTTAAGATCTTGGGGACTCTATGTTAGCAACAAGAACATCATTGAGCCAGTTTGCATTCTGGAGCAATACAGGCTATAAATATACAGGAATAGAAAGCTCAGTAGTCCTAGCTAGAGCTTCTATAATTAACCAAGAAAATGTAAGACAGAAGCTACCAAAAAAGAAGGTAAGAAGTTGAGAGTCTAGAGTCAAGAAGAAAGTTTTCACATTTAAAGCTGGGTCTGTTTTCTTCTTTTGGAAACTATGCGTATGAGTGAATAAAACATCAAATTACTGTACATGAACTTCAGGAATTTAAAAGACATTCTTTGTATCACCTCTGGCATCTTGTGTGACTGTCAACTTTCCTAATCCTTTATATCCTGCTAGTGAAAAAGAGAGCTTTAGACTTTACATTCTCCAAATAAATGTGAATAAATACTAATATGAAACCAAATTTAAAATGGTCTCAAGATGAGAAACAGTGATAATGTCATTCATTAAAGCAGAGGGAAAAACTACATTTGTGAACTTGACGATCTTTAATTGTCCGTTTCATAATCACAATCTTGGAAGAACTGAAAAACAGAAAGACCTCCTGTCATCTCACAAACAAAATTCTTAGCTCATTGTATTTCAGTCTCTCTGCAAATCATTGACTATATTTAATTAAAAAATACAAAACTCCTTGATGTTCTTGTCAAAACTGGTTTTCTCTCTTATGGGCAGGCAGGTTGAAACTGGCTGACATTTGATATTATTTGTTTACCTTGATTTTATCTTTAATAAATCCAAGAACCTTAAAAAGCTAATATGTAGCTGGTTAAACAAATCCCTGAAAAAATATACCTTTGAATTGATGATACAGTCTTTCCCAAGGGAACTATGCCACAAGCAAGAATAAATAATGAAATATGGTTGTAAGGGTTTAGCAATACCTGGCTTTTCTGCTATGTAGTAAAGTAGTTCATAGTAGCTGTTAACAAATTGTCCATAATTGTAAAAGAGAAGACATTAGAGGAAGGATTAGATGGGAGGAGTTCTATAATTTAACTATAGGAAATCAGAGGATTGGGGGTTGAAAATTTTACTGGAAACAGTTGATTGTCAGACTGTTGATTTTGTTACATGTAAATGGGGGGAGGAGTTAGGTAAATAGGAGTATAGCTAAATAGGAATTACACAAAATGTAAACACAGAGTTAAACTGAAAATAGGTATCAACAGAAGTAGCAGTAAGCACCCTAGAATTCCCCAGCTTAAATAAGACAAGAAATAAACAAAATCTTTTCTGCCTCAACCATAAAGAAAGCAAAAAAATAACAAATAAAAAAATTAGGAATGTATTAAGAGTGTCCTAACCTGAATCAAATCAAGGGAGTTGGATTTTGGTTCTTTTCTTGTTAGCCATCCTAAGCAAGCATATTCATAAAGTCAGGAAAGTTTTAAAAGATTAATGACTGAAATCTACACTATTTGTCATAAGAAAAAATTGTACAATTACAATTCAATGAACTGGTGAAGGCTATTCTATTACATAAATAATAGTCAGTGTTTATCATATTAAATAGCATTTACAGTACATGCTGTGTTCTATATCCTAGGAAATCTGTTCATTGCTGATAGGGCAGACTGGGTATAAGGAATCACCACTACCTAAAGAGAGAGAAACTTGCAGAGGAATTTAGCACCCAAGGAAAGAGCTTTGGAAGAGGCCTATTAATGATGCTAGTATGAACTTGCATGTGCTTGAGATAAGCATATATTTAACAAAACAAAGACTCCATTCAGAACATACTTTGGAAACACATAGTCTTTGAGATCTTGGTTCTGATGAGTTGAAATGGCCACTTGAACTAATTCCCATTTTGAAGTTTGTTCATCGTAGTACTACTCAGATGCCAGTGCCAACAGTCCTAAAAGTTTTGAATGATATTTAATGCTTCCAGGAATTGAAGCTTGCCTATCTGTAGATAAACCGGTTTCCTTTTTGGCTGCCTTATATAAGTTAAAACTCATCTGTTAAATGAATGTAAAATGGTTCCCTTGTATAATGTAGAATAAATAAACAACTTGACTTTTCCCATAGAGATATTCTGCTGGTAAGTAGAGAAATAAAGTTGGGTGGTTTGATTTTTTTTTAATATGGCATGTGTTACGCCGAATACAGTATTTTTATTACAATATAAGTGTCTTAAACTTTTATGATATTCATAAGCCACGTCAATTTTAGCTGTTCCTAATGATAATCTTATTTTTCTTGTTGCAACATTTAGCAGAGTTAAAAATGAATCACAGCCTCCACTTAAAAGATCTTCATAAAAGATAATGTCTTAAAATTACAGAAAATAAGCAAACTTATGGTCAATTATAGTCTAAGTAATATAAGACTTTTAATTTTAAACATCTCAAAATTTGTTCTAATATACTGAGAAGTTCTTTCTAATAATCTAAACCCACATAGATGAAAGCTATTTAGAGCAGCGTTGCAAACTATACCATGTGAACCAAATCCACCCCTCTGCCTCTTTTTTTGTAAGACCAACTAGGTAAGATTGGATTTTACAGATCAACCTTTATGATCTAATTAATGAGAATGTTGTCTGAACCCCCACTAAGAAAAATGTTAACCCACAGTAAAAAATTCCATTCTTCCCCTTGGGAGAGCTATAGAACAAAATCTTATACTAACAATATATCCAATTACTGTGCAAAAGAAATTATATTCAATTATCATTGCATTTGAATCTTGTAATAAAAGTTTTGCAGAAACGTGTTTTAACTTACTGCAAATGTACCTACATAAAAGACTTGATTTGCCCTCTTGGCATGCAAAGTCTAAAATAGTTACTGTTTGGTTCTTTGCAGAAAAAGTGCACTGACCCTTGTTGTAACGTATTTCTTTTCATTCATTTATTTTTGTTTTATTCACTTGTATGACCATTCAGTAAATAGTTTCTTAGCAATTCTCATATGCTGGGGAGATTCCTATTTGTTAGCAGGGAACAAAACTTAACAATAACTCTACCTTCATGCAACTTTTATTCAAATTATCTACATTATCACCTCACAGTTTGTCTCTTTAGAAGGCTCCATCAATCTCCTACATAGATAGGTGACGTGAGGTTCAGAAAGTTTATGTTGCTCGCCTAGAGTCTCTTAGCCAGAATGAACTAGTTTGTTCTGGACTCCAAGGCTTGAGCTTCTGGCTTCAGAGGCTGGGCTCCATGCTTCGTTTAATGCTGTGCTGTTACAATCTTGAAATTCTTAATAGTTTTTGAACAATCATTTTTGAGAAATGAATACATTTTCAGATTGTGTTGGGTCCCACAAATAATACAGCTGGTCTTGACATAAGGCAAAAGTGCTTCTCTCCCAGATCACATTGCTGACAAGGCTGTTTTTTGAAACATCCACATGAATTTATTTCAAAGCCGTGAAATCTGTCAAGCACTTTCAAAACATAAGCAACTTTTTTTTTTTTTTTATATTCCAGTATACCAGAAGACTGGAAGTTCCTTGAGGGCTAAGCTTCCTTTCCACAGTAATATTTTGTTATTCTCTCTGCGTCTTTCACTATTTTGAGAAAATAGTGAGTAAAAAATAAATATTCTTCAAGAGAATTGAATTATATTAATATCTGAGCTTTGTCAAGAGTGTTGGCTCAGTTTTGGCTTAATTTTTCTTCTAGGGAAGAGCAAAATTTCTTCTGATCTTGACGCATTTCTAAATTTTAAAACAAGGTATTAGGTCTGAGTTAGACAAGACGCAAGAATTGACCTGTTCTATTACCATGTATAAGGAGGTTCTTTGTCCGGCAGCCAGAGATTGAAACCTCTATGGCTTTGCAGAGTACTCTTGAGTTTACTGCACTTATTAAAATAAATGGTTTGTCTCTTTTCTTTTAATTTCTTGCAGCCTAGTCATTGTTGGATAAGTGAGATGGTAGTACAGTTGTCAGACAGTTTGACTGATCTTCTGGACAAGTTTTCCAATATTTCCGAAGGCTTGAGTAATTATTCTATCATAGACAAGCTTGTGAGCATAGTGGACGACCTTGTGGAGTGCGTGAAAGAAAACTCATCTAAGGTAACTTTGCATGGTTGGGATTGTTTTATATGACTCTTCTCTGAAACCTATGCTAATTAGTGGTGTTGGGAGCATGGAGCGTCTTTATTTGTGAGATTTTGAATTGATGAACTTGGACTTTAAAAATATTTTTAAGATAAGCACAGACACAAGTATTTGTGGTTATCGAGTAATGCTGTAATGTGCGTAGACTTAAATATTGTCACCTAATATAAAAATAAAATTTCTTTGGGCTATAATGTTGGGGAAAAAAAAGAAACCCCTGTCTTTATCTTTGTTTTTATTTCATTAGAGAATGAGGTCCTCAGAATCTTCCTATTATAGATGTTCATTTAAATGAAAAATCGTCTATGATGTGTACTTATCCTTGCCTCTTGTGTGTAATCCAATCACCCCATGAGTGAGAACAAAGTACATTTTGTCCCCTCAAAGTCACTCATAATTGGTCATCACCAGCTTTGGGTTACAGGCAGGACAATACTTTGGCTTCCAGGCATGTGGGATAAACAACATAGTCCAGAAATTAAGAATGAAACCTTGGTCCTCAGATTCTAACCCTGTCACTAATTAGCTTTGTGAACCCCACTTTAAGTTCAAACCCTAAGTTTTAAACAAGATTCTGCACCTTAATTACACAATTTTTTTTCCCTCTATCCCATCCAAATTCCACCCACTGCTTACAACTCAACATTAATCCCATTTGTGCTCTCCTGTCTTAGAATTCTTAACCATACTAATAACCTAGTCACCACATGTCACCATTTCTATTGCTTCACTTTCTAATTTCTCAAGTCAGAATGTAAATTACAGTTAACGACCTCTTAACATCTCTCTCTGATTACTACAGCAGACAGTGTTCTGATGGCATTCATAGGAAGTAGAGGTCAGCAAAAGCAGGATATAGCACACAAGGTGTCACAAAAGAGATAACATATGCATTAGGGTCTTTAAAACAAGGTAGGTGTTCAGTAAATGGCAGTGTTGAGAAGAGCATTGCTAGTAACAGAGAATGTGCATTTACGAGTCATGTTACTCTGGTGGGAGCCCAGGAGATTGCAGGTGGTACTTCCCAGTTGGTTTGGAGTGCTTGCTTTATGTAAGCTCTTAGAATCTTATAGAGTAAGTGAAGTATAGGTGTTTATTATTATTGTTTTCTTTTATAATCATCCATTTATGTATCCCACAATATAGCTTTGCTATGCTCTTTTATATAAGTTAATTATACTATTTTGATCTTTTGTGGCATAATCTTTCACTCAGCATTAGGTTTATAAGATGTATTCACTTGGAGGGCTATCGCTGTAGTTAATTTTTTTGTTATTGAAAAGGCAATTTTTTTATAATATGATGTATTGAATGAAATAGAATATAAGCAATAGTTTACAGACTGATGAATGTCAATGCTAAACACATCACAATTTTTTATAGTACAAGTGCCCAATATTTATATTGGTAGGTGAGAAGTTCATTATTATTATTATTTTTTTTTTTTTTGCAGTTTTTGGCTGGGGCTGGGTTGGAACCCACCACCTCCAGCATAATGGGCCGGCACCCTACTCCTTGAGCCACAGGCACTGCCCGAAAAGTTAATTATTTTAAAATAAGCAGCCATGAAATGATTATCTATCTAGGCAACATAAGCAAATATATATTTGAAGTAGCAGGATGGTTCATTTCAACAAAGAGGAAGCTGATGGCAATGGAACTAAGTCTGTCAATAATAGATTTGAAAAGGGAAAATACATGTTCTCTAAAGTTAATAATAAAAATTTCCGTAATAAATGTGTAAGCCACTTTTAAAACTATTATTATACCCTATTGTATGGAAAGAGGAAAGAAAAAATGCATATAATTCTTGACTGTAAGCCATTTATGGTGATAAGAATGTTCATACCAATTACTTTATAGATCTGGTTTATTCTTTTATGTACCATCAGTTGAATCGATACTATAGCTGTAATTTTTTACTGCTTGTGGTGTATTTCATTAATTCACTCTACCAATCTTCATTAAACTACTCTTCTGTTGATTGACATAAGGGTTACAGGCATTGCTAAGAACTCTCTTGTATGTCTTATGGCACATAGGTGCAAGAGTTTCACTAGGAGTGATATATCTGGGTCACAAGATGGGCACATGTCCAACTTTACTAGATAATATCAAATGTGTCCACCTGGGTTGTTCCAGCATTATGTCAGCGTCCTTCAACCTATGTCCTTGCCAATAATTAATTACCATCATACTTTGAAATTATTGGATATTAGAGCATACATTATGGAGGGATCTTTTTAAAATCAACATTAATGTTTTTAATGAGCATCTCTAAAGAAAAATGTCCCCAGTGTGTTGTCAAGATCATTTCATTGTCATAACATTGTGTTCACTGAACCTGCCCTCCCCATATCGCCCTGGTCACCACTTGACCCCAAAGGATTGCTATTCTACATTACCGATTTGAATTATGTATATTAAAGCAGCTGTCTAAAAGTGTCCGTTGTTAAGAGCTCAAATACCATACTTGAATCTTTGAAGGACATTTATAATCCATTCTCTTGACCTCAATTATGCCTATAGGCTTTGGAAAATATAATCCTGTTTTGTTTTGTTTTTTCTCATAGAATGTAAAGAAATCATCTAAGAGCCCAGAACCTAGGCTCTTTACTCCTGAAGAATTCTTTAGAATTTTTAATAGATCCATTGATGCCTTCAAGGACTTTATGGTGGCATCTGAAACTAGTGATTGTGTGATTTCTTCAACATTAAGTCCTGAAAAAGGTAAGACATGTAAGCATTTCCAGTTCCAGTGTAATCAGCAAGCGTGGATCTTACCTGTGTAGCTAGGAATCTACCTCTGAATCAAATATATGTGTAGCGATAGAAAGATACATGTGTGTATGTCTAAAAAAAAAATCAATGGCACAAAAGAAACTAATGACAGATTTGTTGGTTTCCAAGCCAAAATGATACTCATTGCTTTCAAAGTAAAGGACTGCATGTGAGTAAACAGTACAATATCTGAAATGATCACTCCTATTTTTTCTCATCTAGTATTTGCTAGTAATGTACAATTATATTATTCTTCACCTCCAGTCTTCTTAATGTTCCTTTCTCAAACCTTTTTCTTAAAGATCTAAGTCATCGCTTCTGATCCTCAATATCTATATTGAGACTCTTTCTTCCCTAATCCCCCTCCCTGCCCCACCCCCTGCCCTGGATCCCTGGATCCCTACACCACAAAACCCTAATTTCATGACTTTCTTTTTTATGACAATCTGTCATTATTCACATTTATTAGCACATGTATGCAAGAAACCTTCATTCCACAAGGTGACTGTGGTGAATTTCTTAATAAAATAGAGCAGCAGGACCTAGGATGAAATAAATAGGATCTGAATAAACAGACCTGACAAGTACTCTGTTATTGCACTTCACCTTTGGGGACTCGGTAATTCCTATAAACTCGTATAACACTGACACGTTATTGCTTTCTATTTAGATTCCAGAGTCAGTGTCACAAAACCATTTATGTTACCCCCTGTTGCAGCCAGCTCCCTTAGGAATGACAGCAGTAGCAGTAATAGTAAGTACACATATGTGATTTAATGCATGCACGGCTCCAATTAGCATCTATAGGAGTATTGCATGGGCTTTTAAGGAAATTTCTAATTATTACTATTAATACTGTTCTGTCACTGTTATTCTTCTTGTGGTCTTCCTGAGATTTAAGACTATAGAATTGAGTTTCCCTAGAGCTTGAGATAATATTTAGAGAATTGAGCCAATAAATTGTCTGCTAAGATTATTTTAAATAAGGCATGATACTAATTTTAGAAATACTGTTTACACTGTTGTCATTACAGACCTGTATATTTTGTACAGAATGTGCCTAACAAAAATGGAAATGTAAAACCGAATGTACAAAGGCTAGTTGTATAGAATTCCAAGGATATTTTCAGTTGTGTGTGAATCAGTAGTTACCACTGCGTATTTGGAAAGTTGATATTGTTATTTTACTATAAAGTTGTATGTTGGAGTTCAGGAGACTATGCTGATTTTCCTGCTGTCTGGCCTCTTTAGCCAAGAGCTCATTCCCTGCAAGACTCTATCTTCTTTTGATAGCCAGACAAAGGTCATTATAAATATTTTGGATTTAATGACTATCCTATAGCCTCATTAAGATGATAACGTGGTCTTAGCTAAAAAGTCATTCTCTTAAGATTTATAAATAGGGCACTGCCATTTGTTCAGGGACATGGGAGACCTATTGATAAAAGGGAATACACAACTTATTACAAATCCACAATAGCCTGGATTTTTTTTTTTTTTAAAAAACCCCATAATACAATTTATTTTGGAATTTTGCTCCCAAAACGTGACCTGAACTGAGATGAGACTATATAGTCTTTATTGATAACGAATTAGATCTGAAAAGCTTCAGAAAGAGACTAGGTTCAAGAACCTGTTTGTTAGTGAACTAAGGTCTTCCTTACCAACAGTGGGTCTTATTAATCTTTTCAAAGAAGGTGCTTTTTGGCTTCTTAAATTCTGTTTCTATTTCATTGATTTATAATCTTTATTATTTCTTTCCTTCTACTTGCATTGGGTTTAATTTGCACGACTTCTTTTAAGCTTTTTAGGGTGGAAAAATTAAATTGTTTATTTTACAGCATTTTTTTATAATTGTAAGCACCGAACAGGTATAAATTTCCTTGTAAGCACTGCCCTGCTTCTGTTACATCCCACGCATTTTTATATGTTATGGTTTTGATATTACAGTGTTCTCTTGTGATTTCTTTTTTTGATTTATGTGCAATATGGGTATAAAAGCGAATTGTTTGTTGTCTAGAATTTTGGAGTTTTCTAGATATCCTATAGTTATTGGTTCCTAATGTGATTTTGTTATTGTCAGAAAACATACTCTATAATCTTTTAAAATGTATTGATACTTATTGTATGTGTTTTATTCAATTATTTGGTGAAGTCAGATTTGGCCAAAGTCATTGATAGTGTTGTTCCTATCTTTCATTCCTTCTTAAGTATTTTGTCTAATTTTTATCATTTACTCAGAAAGGGGAATTAAAAATCTATTGATTGTGTATTTGTCTGATTCTCCTTTTGGATCTAAGTTTCTTGCTTTTTATAGTTTGAAACTATGTGTAATAAATAATACCTTTATTACTGTTATGTCCTCTCTGATGAATCGACCTTTTAATGTTACTGAAATATCCCTTATTACCTCTGGTAATGTTCTTTGTCTTGATCTGTATACTTTGTCTGTTATTAGTAGAGCCAATCTTTCTTAAGATTTCTGTTTTCATGTTATCTTTTGCTTTCTTTTATTTTCAACTCATTTTCCTTATTTTTAAAGTATATCTCTGCAAGACAACATATAGCTGGGTCTTGTTATTTTATCTAGTCTGTCTCTTATTTTTAATTAGAGTGTTTCATTCATTTATATATCATAAATTTGGGGGATGGATTAATTAGGGACTATCACTTTATTACTTGTTTTTTAATTTGTTGCATTTGTTTACGGATTCTTCACTCTTTCTTTCTAGCTCTTTTCAGAGTTAAATAACCTTTATGGGGTTTTCTTAGCATTTTGTTTTAATTACTGTTGACTTTTTAATAGTATTTTTGTGCATTATTTTGTGGCTATAGTAGGATTAAAGCATGTATGTTAACTTGTAATGTTTTATTTAGAGTTAATATTGTAGCACTTTTTAAATTAAATCATAACTGTGTACATTAATGCAGTCATGGGGTACAGTGGGCTGGTTTTATATACAATTCGAAATATTTTCATCAAACTGGTTAATGTAGCCTTCATGCCATTTTCTTAATTATTATGTTAAGACATTTATATTCTACATTTAGAAAGTTTCACATGTACCCTTGTGAGATGTAGCACTTTAGAAAAAAATAAAGAACCAAAACCACGATAGTTTTACTAACCCACACCCATTTTTTGTACTGTTACTAACACATACCTGCATAGATTATAAGCCCATAACAGTCTTCAAATTATTGCTTTACACTATCATATATATTTGTTTAAGTAAGAGAAGAAAAAAATACATTGTCTTTTACATTTATCCACTTACTTATTATTTCTTGTGCCCTTCACTCATGCTCACAGATCCAAGTTTCCACCTGGTGTTAGGTCCTTTCAGGATGAAAAAGTCTAGCATTTCCTATAGCACAGATCTGCTGGCAACAAATTCTCTTTTTTCTCTGCTACTGAGAAAATGTCTTTATTTTGTCTTCCATGTCGCAGGTACTTTTTACTAGATACTGAATTACGGGTTAGCAGAATTATTTTTTCCGTTCAGTCCTTTAAAAACATCACTCTGTTGCCCTCCTGCAGCTATTGTTTTTGAAAAAAGAACAATTAGCCCTAATTTATCTCATGCTTTCCTATATGGAGTAGCTCATTTTTTTCCTCCATATTGTTTAAAATTTTCTCCTTTTGAGAAGTTTACCTAGAATATGTCTATGAATGGTATTTCTCTTTCTTGGGGTTTGTCAAGCTGATCTGTAAGTTTATTTTATTTTGGGAGAAAATTTGGTGCTAATTTTTTCAAATACTTTTTCTCCATTTTGTCTATCCTCTCTGATTTGCTCATACATATTTTAGGCATTTTAAAACGGTGTCAGAGGTCACAGATATGTTGTTCATTTTGTTTAGCCCCCTTCGCTCAGCTCTTCTGAATCATTTCTACTTAACTGTCTTCAAGTTCACCAACTTTTTATTCTGTCATCTTTAATCTGCTGAAATTTTTTCATTCTGTGCACTTTTTCACTTCTCAATTTATATATTGTGCTCTAGAATTTTCCATTGATTATATTTACACTTTAGAAGCAATGAGACTTTCCATCTGCATATTCGTTTTGACCATATTTTCCCTTTTGTTCCTTAAATAGAATCATAAAGCTGCTCTAAAGTTCTCGTTTCCTAATTTCAACATGTAGACCATCTCAGGGTTGGTTTCTGTTGACTGTTTTTCCTCTTGATTATAGGTCACATTTCCTTTTAAATGGTGTAATTTTTGAATATATGGTAGACATTGTGAATACTATGTTCTTCTGGGTTTTATTGCATTTCTTTAGAGACTGCTGTATTTTGTTCTGGTGGGAGGTTCAATTACTGGCACACGAGCTTTGTCTTTCCTCTCGGTGTTTTTTTAAACTTTCTTGGCTACTGGGGTTGAGTAGGTATGGACTTTCCAGGAATCTCTAAACTGCTCAGAAAATTTCTCCCAACTTACTTGTGAGAACACCTTTGTCCCCATTGTTACACGACTGCTAGATTCCCTGATAAGACACAACTCCCCAGGTATCATTTTTGTCAGGTTTGGTGATGTGTGTCTCTGTGTGTGCAGCTTGCTATTCAACTAATAACTTAAGGAGACTTGTCTAGTGATTTCTGGTACTCTTTCTCTGTACAACTCCCTGCTTTCAAACAATACAGATCTACAGACTTCAGCCACATCAACCCTGAACTTCATCCTCTGACTACCTGTTTCAGTGAAACCATTGAACCATTTTTAGACTCTGTCTTCACACCTCAATCAGATGCAGCTGCCTGGCACCTAAAAGCCAGCAGGCCAGGGCAATTGTGTGCCTTCCTTTGTGTGTTTTCCCCCCTCCCAGGAATGATACTTTTCTGTGGCTTATTGGCCAATTTCTGAAGATAGTTGCCTCATATAATGTTTCTAGAATTATTAGATTGGGAAGACTAAGCTACTATTGTGGTTGGCAACCAAAGCCTTTGTTGCTGACTTTAGAAGATAAATTTGGCCTATCATGTGGCTCATGCCTGTAATCCTAGCACTCTGGGAGGCCGATGTGGGAGGATTGCTTGAGGCCAGGAGTTCAAGATCAGCCTGAGCAAGAGTGAGACCCAGTCTCTATAAAAAATAGAAAAATTAGTCGGGGCATGGTGACCTATGCCTGTAGTCCCAGCTCCCCAGGAGGCTGAAGCAACAGAATTGCTTGAGCCCAGGAGTTTGAGATTGCTGTGGACTATGATGGTGCCCCTGCACGCTTGTCTCAAAAATATAAAAGACAAACTGAATGTAAATCACTTGTTCAACCCTCTGCCTCTGAGTCAGAAGGTACTTTTTTAAATTGAAAAATGAAAAGGAAGCCTTCTTTTTTATTTATTTCCTTTTCTTTTTTTAAAATAAAAATATGTCTTGCATTTTCAGAAACTTTTGGCTGGGTGGTATCACTCATGAATATGCCACTTAGATACCTATGCACAAAACAAGCTTTTCTGGTTCTCTCAGGAAAACAGATGAAAAAATACCCATAATAGAGTAAATAATACGTATAATAAAAGAATTGTATAAATGGTTTTAGTTGTAGTGTAAAAAGTCAGAGAAATTTGAAGAAGGCTTGCTAGTTTTCAGGGATTAGAATCAAAAGCTGGTCATAGCAATCAAAGGACCAGGACATATGAAGATACATTGCAGAGATGGGAGTGTAGAATGCAAAGTCATGTGATAATATATACACCTGCTATTAATAGTTATCTAAAGGGAATATTGTTTATAAAGTAATAGTCATATCCTTTATGCAAAGCTAAAAGGAAGCTTTGAAGATGTTTAAGTTTGAGATCCTTGCAGGCATTACCAGCAATACAGAAAGAAATCTTTATTTTGATACTACTTTATGCATCTTCTAGAACTGCAGTCTTGACTCAGACTGCCTGGACAAACATCCCAGGCAAAATACTTCCATCCTCTTGACTCCTCAGTGAAACAGAGCGTGTGACTCCTTCACAGGGTTTCTGTGAGTGTTAAATGAGTTAGTACACATGTACTGGGAGCCATACCTGGTGTATTCTGATAGCTCATCGTTAACTATTAGAACAGATAGAGGCAGTAAGACTGGGTCAGTGTTCCTGGTGGGCTCTGATTCTCACTCAAGAAGGAAAACCCATTTACCTGTTTCATAAGCACCGAGAGACCCCTGTTCTCAGCAGGGATGCTCCTACCCAGACTCACTCTAACAAGTTGTTCTGCAAAATTGTAGCACAATTTTGCGTGTTCTGTATTTCCACTGGTGTCAGTTATTATTAGTCAAACCAACAAGTCAGTTCCTAAGATTTTTGAACAGTGGACAGTTGCAGTCATAGTGAGGTAAAATTAATCAGACAATAACCCGTGAATTGAGATTCCTCTACTCCTATCAGGATGAACTCTCCCTATCTGCAAGGTCTCTGTGGATAATCTCTATATAAGGTCAAAGCCTTGTCCAGATACCTTTCTTTATGGGCACAGAGGCATACATTCAAATCTTTTTGATTCTTGGTGTATGGCTAAGGTGCCAGACAATGAAGTCCTCCCCTGAAGGTGTTTTCTGATGAAGTTGTTTTTCTCTCCCTGCCAGAGGGACAGTAGTATGCTTGATCAATTGATGGCAGGACTCTTAAGCCCTATGCATGAACTAATAACAAAATAGCAAAAGCAAAGTAACAGTGACCTCTATGAAGCTCAGTAATTCATGAGCCCTTTCCCTTCCTAGTCTTTCCTGTCCCTCTCCCTTCCTCACTCCTAAGGGGGAATGTTGCTGCTGGGTCTCAGTCAGATTCTGGAACTTTGTACAGGCTTATCATCATTCAGAACTGTCTGTCATAGTGGTTAGCAAGTCACTGAAGTCTGAGAGGGCTGTGTGAGCATTGCTAAGTGAGGTCTCCCACACAGCTTTGTTGGAAGACCCTGGTCTTCCAGCCTGACAAAGGTTCTGAGTAGCCAACTGTAGTGAGCTTGCTGAGCTCACTCATCAGTAAGCTCCTTCTGACCTTTGCTAGTGAGTCTGGTTTTTCTCTGATCTGAGTGGTGAAATCCAAGATTTAAGTTTGGTCCTTGGGTAGAGACGGAAGAACTGAGTGTTTGGCTTCCTTGATTCCAGGGCATCTGGTTAACCAGACAAAGGTAATGGGAGCCCCCTAGAATAGCATCCTAATCACTAGAGTTTTCCACTAGGCTGAGGGGATAAAAGTATCATTAGATTCCTTTGTTCTCTCTGTATATATACATTAATTTGGACCTCTCCAAGAGGTCACCTAGTCAAGTCTGTCATATTTACACACCAGCAATACCATAGGCAGTGGGAGTCACAGCAGGTTGGCCATGAAGGAGAACCACAAATAGCCAGGTCATTGATTTACAGATAGTGTCATTACATTCTTGAATTGCTTGTAACTGTAAATCCATTTTCTCATAGAAAATACTTTTATAGATGATAGTTAAATCCCAGAGTAGCCCACATAATCTTACATATAATCTTGAAGATAGTTGTATTCTTGTAATGATAGTATGACTTCAGTTAGGTCAAATACCATTTTACAACCCAGATTTATTTCGATGGGAAAAATCTGTGTTGAGCTCTAATTTGAGATGCCTAAGTGTATCTCACACAGACCTCTTATGGAGGCAATTCATGGTTCTGTGAATGGATAACCCCACTTCCCAAAACTCCCTAGCTGGGAACCCCTGTACCCTACACTAGATACCTATCCCTAACTGTCCCTTCTCCCCCAACACACATGCACATGAGCATACGTGCAAGCATCTTATCAACTCTCTTTGGAAATAGGAATCATAGGATTAGGGGAATCCCTATTTCAAGTTCACATTTGGTGAAAGAATAGACAACTCCTGTCCTCACTACTTAGAAGTAGTAGCTAAGATCCTCTTCCTACCTCTGAAGTTAAATCATTGAGTTTTATTTTTCCCTTGTAAGTGTTGATATACATACAGTGGACTGGTTATCATATATACTTTAAGTTCTCTGTATGTAAAATAGGTGATTGTAGGCTGAGTCTGTAACCCAAATACCGTTGCACAATTGGCCAAAAGCAGGTACTTTACCTTGAATTAGTTTATATTTTGATCATGTAATAGTTACCTCTTCAAAAGAAAATTGCCAACTTAATGCCTGCAAACTAGCATAGATGTGTCAATATTCCCAAACAACTAAGTCGTTCTTTGTAAAGAGACAGGTAGAAAAGGCTATCAAAATCAGTTTCGTGTTGGAAGGAAGAGATGCTTGTGGGAGACATGTTTTGTTTAATTTGTGAGTCCTTTCTGCTTCTCGTGGAAGAGTAAGACAGCATCGAAGAAGGTGTTCCAAGCCAATCCCATGTCTTCTGTCTCACTGAGTCACTTATCTAGACTCACTTAGTAGAGGGTGACACTGTGCTTTCAACTATTCTTCAGCCTTAGCATCAAGCTTTCCAAGACAACATTCTGAAAAATCAAATCCTTGGTCCATGACCCTGTCTGGCACCACCTGGCATGTAATAAATGTGTACAGAAGATGGAAATGAGGAAACAGCCACGATGCTAAGCACGAAATGCTGGAAAATGCTATAACCATAGTGCACATGGAATATCTTAATATTCGCAGTAGGCCAAACATAGCTGAATGGATACAGACCTTGATCCAGGTTGTAAATGTCATCTTTACAATTTCTGGGCGTGTTGTCAAGGGTGAGAAAGTGAACCGATTCAGAAGATGAAGGCCTAGGAGCTAGATCTGCTGGATAGTATAAATCGCTTTCCCCCAGGAATCTGTCAAGTGTGTTCCATATGCATCAGCATTAACTGTGTCAAATCTCTTTCTGTCTCTCGAGTTTTTTTTTAAATGTATTCCTTTTTTCTTTTTTCTTTTTTTTTTTTTTTTTGGAGACTACATGGACTTTTATTGCCTTGCGAAAACAATGCTCAGCAGAAAAATCAACCTCTTGAATAATTTAAACAGATATAGGTCAAGAGTATATTGTGGAAACAGTTGGGAACAACCACAGCATAAAAGCAAAACCTCTAGAGGGGATGTGCTGTCCTCACCACTGTGTTCTTTAAATTACAGGGAAGGCTCTGAATTCCACTGGAGACTCGAGCCTACAATGGGCGGCCACGGCATTGCCAGCATTCTTCTCTCTCCTAATTGGCTTTGCTTTTGGAGCTTTATACTGGAAGGTACGTGTCGCTGTCGCTTTTTATTTATTTATTTATTTATTTTGCTCTCCATCAATCAACTTTACATATTTATTTGTTCACCCTATGTTGACATAAATAAATGATTAACAGACAAACTTTCTTTTTCTGAGAAAGGATCCTATTAAGAAAACAATGAGTCCTACCCTGTCAACATTTACATTTTAGAAAGTTGCCCTCAAGTTTTGACCACCCCTATAGGTTCATCCTATAAGGGTACATGTGAATCTCTCTAAATGTAGAATATAAATGTCTTAACACAATAACTAAGAAAAAGACATGAAGGCTATGTTAACCAGTTGGATGAAAGTATTTCAAATTGTGTACAGAAACAGTACACTGTACCCCATGATAGTATTAATGTACACTGCTATGATTTAATAAAAATAAAAATAAAAAATGAAGACCTAAAGACAATTAAAAAAAAAAAAAGTTGCCTTCCATGTCCTTGTTATGTGTGGAGACAACCCCTGAAGCTAATATCTACACTTAAGGATTAGGAACTGGTTTTAATGATCTGAACTAAATATAAAAAGAAATGAAACCTGCTAAAAAAGTTATATGACGTGCTCAAAAGCCAAACAGAATTGCCATTTGTATTATCTGCTATGGAGATTTCTAATCACTCATCCTGTTATGGAAGACATTCTTATTGAAGCCTGTCTAAAAATTTAAAATGAGCGAAATCATCACAACTCAAGTTTTTGAAATGTCTTTGGAATTTGATGACTATTTTGAATCTCTTAGTTTCTTTATTACTCTTTGACCCCCTAACATCCTAAAAAGGTTGAGTCAGAAACACTATGCAGTTTTCATACTCTTTTACTGCAAAAATATGTTGCATACTGCAAGTTGGGGAAACAAACTATGGTTGGAGTTACTGACATAAAAGATAAACATCTTAACTCTTAAATATTATACCATTCGTTGATATTTTTACAATCTATTTCCATTGTTCTTTTCCCAGAAGAAACAGCCAAATCTTTCAAGGGCAGTTGAAACTATACAGATTAATGAAGAGGATAATGAGATAAGGTATTTTGTTTTGCTAAATGTGTGCATGAGCGAGCTTGACTTTGCCCAGTTCACACACTTTTCTCACTCTAGTAATGTCTTTCAGAAGCGCGTCCCAACTCCTCATTCATGCTGGTCAACTCTCCCTCTCTCTTCAATCCTGTATCTCCATTTGTCTGTAGAATACATTCACACAATCATCTTCATGTTTCTTCTTAGGGCATCAAAAGGGGGTGTTTTGTCTATTTCTTTCTTTTTTTTTTTTCTTGGCTGGGGCTGGGCTTGAACCCACCACCTCCGGCATATGGGATCAGCGCCCTACTCCTTTGAGCCACAGGCACTGCTCATACTTTTTCTATTTCTATAAGCAGAAGAATCTTGCTCAGACTCGTGGTCATGGAGCTCTGAAAGCATGTTTACTTAAGTTTCTTTTCCACACTGTTGCCAAAACATACCGATTCGTTTCTCAGAGTCTGTTCCCAAGCTTTGTTCTTTGGTAACAGTCATTATTGGTTGGGGAGTTTTTTGCTTGTTTTTTGAGACAGAGTCTCACTAGGTCACCCTGGGTAGAGTGCCATGGCATCATCATAGCTCACAGCAACCTCAAATTCCTGGGCTCAGGTGATCCTTTTGCCTCAGCCTTACAAGTAGCTGGGATTATAGACCACCATGCCCAACTAATTTTTCCTGTTTTTAGTAAAGGTGAGGTCTCACTCTTGCTCAGGCTGGTCTCAAACTCATGAGCTTAATCCACTTGTAGCAGCCTCAAAGAGTGTTAGGATTGCAGGTATGAGCCACCACACCCGGACCATTGTCAGTCTTGAGATTTTAGGTTGTCACCACAGATCTCATCTGTAGACCTTCTAAACTCAACCTTCTTTAAACCCTGGTTCATAGTGTCATATCCTATTCAAAATACATTCAGTGATTTTTCTCTTGTATACATAATGTATTTTTTATGTCACTCTTTCAGAGCCCTTGACTTTTCTCGATAGTCATTTTTTTTTCTCCAAGACCAAATTTCAGAGGCCTTCCCATTCACCGTCACTGCCCTTTATTACTTTAACTGAGAATATTGCCCCACATCAATATTTCCATTTACATTCAGTTATAATTTTAATTTGGCATGTTATTGTTTCACATAGCATGACTGTATGTGTACATAGACGCACATAAAGAGCGTATGTGTACATGCATAAATAAAGAATTTTTTTTTGAGATTAAACAGGCAAGTTTTATTATCAAATGTTAACAATTCTACAAAAACTCAGTAGTATTGTAGTAAGTATTGCTGCCTATCTTAAAGTCTCAGAGCTTTGGGCAACATCTTAAGTCATCAAGTATGAAGAACTTTCATTATGATCTTAAGTGCCAGTTATCACCAATTTTATACACACAATTTTGTTTTTTTAATTTTCCTACTACACTGAAAAGGCCATTGCTGGTCAGCTGAAGAGGGACATATTTGGCTCTCCATTCAAGCTGTTGATCAAATTAATGCAAAGTAGGTAAAAACAGCAGTCACATAAATTGGCATGGCATTGCATCCAAACGAAGGACAAAATGAGTAACTTAAATATCAACATTCAATGCACGTAATCAAATCCTGTTTCATTCTTTGGGTTGCATGAGGCAGCAGTACCAGCTAGCTAGTGTCCAGTATTGCACTTTTGTAGCATAAACACAGCTAAACACATAGTGCTGAAACCCTGACAGCATCAGTACCTGCTCTAATCGCACCAGTCTTTATCTCTCCATCTAGCATGCTGACTATACTCCTAGGCTTTTAAAAGTTTTCATTATTTGACAGTTAAGGCATTAGAGGAAAAGGCTTAAGACTACCTTAATATAGACAAGCATACACTTCAGTTAGCATATTGTCTTCTAGGACACATTGTTCAAACATTCTCATTTCTGTGATATTAAAAACTGTGGACTTTTTCTTGTTAAAGTCCAAAGCATCAGCGTTTTTCACATAGCATGCCTATATGTGTACATAGACACATATAAAAAGCATATGTGTATATGCATAAATAAAGAATTTTTTAACCACTTGGGAAGACTGTTGAAACCATAAAATCTTTTTCTTCCCTGCACTAATTTTTAGGAAGGTAAGCTTCCCATCCAATTCTGCCATCTTTGCTGTAAGTGGAATCACGTCTATGGTTCATCTTACAAGGGTACATGTGAATTTTTCTAAATGTAGAATATAAATGTCTTAACACAATAACTAAGAAAATGACATGAAGGCTATGTTAACCAGCTTGATGAAAATATTTCAAATTGTATATGAAAACAGTGCACTGTACCCCATGACAGTATTAATGTACACAGCTATGATTTAATAGAAAAAAAACTGCCTTTTACAAAGGCCAGAACATGGTGTCCTTCAGAACCTCTGTCCAAAAGCAAATAAGCATTTTTCTTATTGTTTTTCAGTATGTTACAAGAAAAAGAGAGAGAGTTTCAAGAAGTGTAACTGTGGCTTGTATCAACACTGTTACTTTCGTACATTGGTAAGTTCTTAGAATTCCAGCTGAAATATTTAGCAAGAGCTGTACAGCATCTTAGATGTCAAAATTTAGAAATAAACTTTATTATGAAATCTCCTGTCAAGAGGATGTCAGCATGGTAATGGAAGTTGTTACACAGTAAAAAAGTAGTGTGATTAGCAGATTCATCTTGTGTGGGAGGTAGAAGAAAAATTAATGATTGAGTGTTTAGTTGAGGCCAGAAAATAAATTAGACAAGGGGGATACAGGCAGCTGCAGGGTTAAAAATGAGATGAGTTCTATAGGTTTGTTCTTAAGTTGAATTTGTATGGAAGTCAGAACAGATATATTTACTTATTAATAATAAGTAATAGCCTCAGTTCATAAGTATGAGTTGTATATAAGTTGGATGTTTGTAACTTGGGGACTTCCTGTTGAGCAAATAAATTAAAATATTATTAATGGGAGCAAAATATATAAAACCAGTTTTACTTAGACGTGACTACCATAACATGACAATATCCCATCGGTGAGATGCTGACACAAGAGAAAACCAAAAATGGTCCCCTCCCATTTCAAGGAAAATGATAATGTCAAAATATTTTATACTCTGAAGAGTAAAATTATCAAGGTCAAGTGCCACCTGCACATCCTCATCATGACCCAGAACTCAGGTGCACTGATTATAAAGCAGCAGCAGAGCTGTGCTGTGATTGTGGGGTCTATGAAAGGGTTGTGAGCAAAAGGAGAGAAAGATGTGGCTGGAGGTACTGGCGGCCATGATCTCCTGCCCTGTCTACTTTCGTGCTCTTCCTCACCTTAACTTCTGCTAACCAACATTTAGCTTTGCTTCTGCAAGAGTATTTGAAGGTCCTCTCTTCCTAATCCCACAGTTCTGTGCATTCTCTAGCCATAAAAGTTCTATTGACTCTCCTAGTTTATTACAGATGGGGTCCATGCTGAGTTTTTCCTTTCTCTACAGCTCAACATCCTTCCAGCTCTCACTTCGGCCCCAGATTCTTATCTCCAGATCAAATCTTCCTCACGAGAGCTGAGTCATAGACTGTCTTGCCTGCCCTCACAGCTCGCTTTTATAGTTACAGGACATCATTTTTTCAACACCTCAATATAACATGATGTAATAATTACATGGCACATTTCTCTGACTCTTTTATTTTATTACAAAGACTTCTTCACTTTTGTCTTCAAGCATACCCTTGGTCACCATTTTTTTCTGCTCCCCATCACAGCTTTTCTCTAAGCTTATTATTCTGTCACATACTGAAAGTGCATAGGCCTCGTTTTTTCATTGTTTTTGGAAAAAGAGTCTCTCTTGCCCAGGGTAGGGTGCAGTGGTGTGATCATAGCTCACTGCAACCTTGAACTCCTGGGCTCAAATGATCCTTCTGCTTCAGTCTCCAGAGTACCTGGTATTACAGGTACATATCAATGTACCCCTCTAAAGTTTTTATTTTTTTTTTTATAGAGCCCCTGTCTCACTTTTGCTCAGGCTGATCTCTAAATCTTGGCCTCAAGCAATTCTCCCGCCTCAGCCTCCCAAAGTACTAGGATTATAAGCACCATGTCCAGCCTCAACCCTTTTTATTTTCTGGAGCAATATTCCCGGAGCTGAAATCATTGTTTTTCCTAGAAACTCATCTATGCCTTTCAGCCTAAGGACGAGTTTCATAGTTTTTTTTTTTTTTTTTTTTTTTTTTTTTTTTTTTTTTCCTAACAGCCCTTTCATTTCCCTTAAGCTGGACATTCACAAACCACACATTACCTAGTTAATTGAGTCTTTAATGCTCAAGTGATGTCGATTGGTTTTGGATTATATTGCTGGGATCCTTTTGACACAGAGGTCTTTAACCATGTGGTTTTAATTGTGGCATTTGTCCAATGACATTTGGAGAGTGGATCAGGATGAGGAAACCTAGACACTTGTCTTAGGAGGATAAAAGATAGCATTTTATGGCTACTAGTCAGAAAACATTCAAAGGCAGGAGCTGGGTCTCTCTGCTTCTTGCTGTATCCTCAAAACCTAACTTCTTATCTGTGCATTATAGGCTCTTGGTAAATGAGACTGAGAGACTAAGGGAAGGAATGAGCCCTAAATAATTGTTTACCCAAATGGCAAAGATGCTGCTTCCTCAGAAGTATGGCTTAGTGTGTGTGTATGTAAGTGTGTGTGTGTTTAATTTGCTGATTTGGATCAATGAGACACGAAGGGTGTGCGTCAAGGAGGAGTATTCTCTACTATTATTTTTCTTTGAGTATAAAATATCGCTCATGTATAAAATGACTCACATTAGTCAGGTTAAAGAAGCCCAGAATTGTTCAGAAATGAACTCTTCACACTTACTGAGTAGTCAATGTGAAATGGATAGTGGGTGACTGAAGAAGTGACAAATTCCCTTCATGGAAAATTTGTGCAAAGCCCTCTCCAGGATCAGCTCAGATACCGCCTCAAAAAGTGACTTCCCTGATGAAAATTATGTGTGACCCTCTGTTTGTGTTCCTACTGTGTGCAGAACATCACAGTTACTTAAATAAACATGCTGTGTCCTTTTCAAAACCATAAGCTGTTAGAGGGCAGGTCATGTCTCTGAATTTAATTTTAGAATCCTGCCAAACTCAGTCACTTCTATTTTGCACACATAAATGATGAATAAGTGTGTATTGAATAAAAAGATAAATTTTTTTTGTGAATTGCAATAATGTAAGAATAAAATTTATGTAGGTAAAATTAGAAATGAACTTGTTTATATGTATGTTAGAATTCAAATGCTTAAGGAGAAATAGGGAAAGAGGAGATAAAGAGCCCAGCTCATCGCCACAAATCTGCAACCCCAGGTCAAATGTGTACATCTCATTTATAATCATTTATTGGCTATCCATCGTGTGGAGTAAGCCTTAGGCTTGGTCCTGTACCCAAATGTGTACATCTCAT